CATCCATCATCCATCCATCCATCATCATCCATCATCATCCATCCATCATCCATCATCCATCCATCATCCATCATCCATCCATCATCCATCATCCATCCATCATCATCCATCCATCATCATCCATCATCATCCATCCATCATCCATCATCCATCCATCATCCATCCATCCATCCATCATCCATCATCCATCCATCCCCATCATCCATCATCATCCATCCATCCATCCATCATCATCCAACCATCCATCCATCCATCATCCATCATCCATCCATCCATCCATCCATCCATCCATCCATCCATCCATCCATCCACCCATCCATCCATCATCCATCATCCATCATCCATCCATCCATCCATCCATCCATCATCCATCCATCCATCCATCATCCATCATCCATCCATCCATCATCCATCATCCATCATCCATCACCCATCCATCCATCCATCATCCATCATCCATCATCCATCCATCCATCCATCCATCATCCATCCATCCATCCATCCATCCATCACCCATCCATCATCCATCATCCATCATCCATCCATCCATCCATCCATCCATCCATCATCCATCCATCCATCCATCCATCCATCCATCACCCATCCATCCATCATCCATCATCCATCATCCATCCATCCATCCATCCATCATCCATCATCCATCCATCCATCCATCATCCATCATCCATCACCCATCCATCCATCCATCATCCATCCATCCATCATCCATCCATCCATCCATCCATCATCCATCCATTCATCATCCATCATCACCCATCCATCATCCATCCATCCATCATCCATCCATCCATCCATCCATCATCCATCCATCCATCCATCCATCCATCCATCCATCCATCATCCATCCATCCATCCATCCATCCATCCATCATCCATCCATCCATCCATCCATCCATCCATCCATCCATCCATCCATCCATCCATCCATCATCCATCCATCCATCCATCCATCCATCCATCCATCATCCATCATCCATCCATCCATCCATCATCCATCCATCCATCCATCCATCCATCCATCCATCATCCATCCATCCATCCATCCATCGTCCATCACCCATCCGTCCATCCCTGGGTGCCAGATTCTGTTCCCGGGTGCCAGCACCTCTCTTGGGGTGCCAGTGTCCATCCTGGATCCATCCATCCATCCATCCCAAGGTGCAAGGATGCATCCTGGGCTACAAGGACCTGTCCCACCCTGCCATGGGGCGTCTATGGGGTGTCTGTGGGGTGTCTATGGGATGTGTATGGGGTGTCTATGGGATGTGTATGGGGTGTCTATGGGGTGTCTATGGGGTGTCTATGGGATGTGTATGGGGTGTCTGTGGGGTGTGCATGTGATGTCTGTGTGATGTGTATGGGGTGTCTATGAGGTGCCTGCAGGATGTCTATGGGGTGTCTATGGGTGCCTCTGGGGTGTCTCTGGGTGTCTATGGGATGCCTTTGGGGTGTCTATGGGGTGTCTATGGGTGTCTCTGGGGTGTCTCTGGGTGTCTATGGGATGCCTTTGGGGTGTCTATGGGGTGTCTATGGGCTGGACCCATCAGCGTCCCCCCAAGCCCAGATTCCCTTGGGGATACAGTCTGCATTCCCACCCATCCCTCCTCCACCCAGAGCCTGAGGCTCGGCCCCAGGAGATTCTCTGGTGTCTCGTATGAGGGTTGAGCCCAGGGAGGAAAACTGTGGGAACCTTTTAGTTCCATATTCTGGGAACGCTGTGGGAGCGTCCCGTCCATGGGGCTGTGTGTTAAAAGTGGGGCCACAGAGACCCCAACTCCCTCCAAGAGGAGGGGACCCCCCTTGGTACCCCTATCATCCAGAGGCACAGGGAGGGGTGAAGCCGCCCAACTTGGGGGTCCCAGCCCCTCCATTGGGATCCAGCCTTGGGAATGCTGTATGGAGGGAGTGTTCAGTGGGATTTTCCACCCCCTTGGTGGGGACAAGGAGGGATTCCTGTTGGGGAAGGTCGATGGGGGGTCCCTGGGGTGTTCCCCATGGGGGGCTCCATGGAGCGGATCCCATTTGGGAAGAGGGATAAAACCAACAGGGACTTTGCCCTGGGTTATGCATGGCCGTCAGCAGAGAGGTTGGATCCTGCTCCCATGGATGGGGTGGGGGGATTTGGGGTTTGGGGGGGCTGAATGGATGATGGATGGAGGACGTATGGGTGCATGGATGGATGGATGAATGGATGGATGGATGATGGATGGATGGATGGATGATGGATGGATGGATGGATGGATGGATGGATGGATGGATGGATGGATGATGGATGGATGGATGATTGATGGATGGATGGATGATGGATGGATGGATGGATGATGGATGGATGATGGATGGATGATGGATGGATGGATGATGGATGGATGGATGGATGACGGATGGAGGGATGGATGGATGATGGATGGATGGAGGATGGATGATGGATGGATGGATGGATGGATGGATGGATGGATGGATGGATGGATGGATGGATGGATGGATGGATGGATGATGGATGGATGGATGGATTGATGGATGGATGGATGATGATGGATGGATGGATGGATGATGGATGGATGATGGATGGAAGGATGGATGGATGGATGGATGATGGATGGATGGATGGATGGATGGATGGATGGATGGATGGATGGATGGATGATGGATGGATGGATGATGGATGGATGGATGGATGATGGATGGATGGATGGATGGATGGATGGATGGATGGATGGATGGATGGATGGATGGATGGATGGATGGATGGATGGATGGATGGATGGATGATGGATGGATGGATGGATGGATGGATGGATGGATGATGGATGGATGGATGGATGGATGGATGGATGGATGGATGGATGGATGGATGGATGGATGGATGGATGGATGGATGGATGATGGATGGATGGATGGATGGATGGATGGATGGATGGATGATGGATGGATGAATGGATGGATGGATGATGGATGGATGGATGGATGATGGATGGATGATGGATGGATGGATGGATGATGGATGGATGGATGGATGGATGGATGATGGATGGATGGATGATGGATGGATGGATGGTGGATGGATGGATGGATGGATGGATGGATGGATGGATGATGGATGGATGGATGGATGGATGGATGGATGGATGGATGGATGATGGATGGATGGATGATGGATGGATGGATGGATGGATGGATGGATGATGGATACAGGATGGATCCAGGATGGATGCAAGATGGGTCCTGGCACCTCAAGAGAGACCCCAGCACTCCAGGATGGGTCCTGGCAGCCAGGTGGGAATCCTGGCGTGTGGGACATCAGGAGGGGACTTGGTACCTCCAGATGGAGCCTGGCACCCCAAAATGGTCCCTGGCACCCTGGGGGTGGATCCTAGCATCCAAGTGGTCCTTGGTCCCCAAGGGGGCTCCTGCACCCTAGGATGGATCCTCAGGATTGGTCTTGGCACCCCAGGAGAGACCCAGCTACCTCTGGATGGATCCTCACACCCCCATAGCGACCCCAGCACCATGGATGGACCCCAGCACCCCAATAGGGCCCCCAGCACCCCAATAGGGCCCCCAGCACCCCAATAGGGCCCCCAGCACCCCAATAGGGCCCCCAGCACCCCAATAGGGCCCCCAGCACCCCAAGACAGACCCAGCCCGCAGCAGCGTCCCAGCACCAAACCAGCTCCCTCTTCATCTCCAAGGCTTTATTGCAGCACTCAAGGCCCCCAGTTCCCACCCCACAGCTCCCATGGGGACACCGGGGGGGGCAGGACGGATGTGGGGGGGGTCCATGGGAGGTTCTGGAGGTGTCTACGTGGTGTCCATGGGGGTCCATGGGGTGTCCATAGAGGGGTCCATGGGGGTTCCCAGGGCAGTTCATGGGGGTCTATGGGGTGGTCCATGGTGTCCAAGGGGGGACTCCAGGGGAGGTCCATGGGGGTCCATGGGGGGTCCATAGGGATCCATGGGTGTCCATAGGGGTCTATGGGGGTCCATTGGGGTGTCCATGGGGTGGTCCATAGGGGTCCATGAGGGGGTCCATGAGGGGGTCTATGGGGAGGGTCCTTGGGGGGGGGCCATAAGGATCCATGGGGGGTCCTTAGGGTTCTATGAGGGTTTCCATAGGGGTGCATAGGGGTCCATGGGGAGGGTCCATAGGGGTCCATGGGGAGGGTCCATAGGGGTCTATAAGGGGAACCATAGGGGTCCATGGGGGGGGTCCATGGGGGGTCCATGGGGGGATCCATTGGGGTCCATGGAGGGGGGTCTATGGGGGGCCCATGGGGGGGTCCATGGGGGTCCAATAGGGGTCTATGGGGGGTCCATGGGGGTCCATAGGGGTCCATGGTGGGCTCCATAGGGGTCTATGGGGGGGTCTATGGGGGGTCCATGGGGGTCCAATAGGGGACTACGGGGGGGTCCATGGGGGTCCATAGGGGTCCATGGGGGGGTCTATGGGGGGGTCCATGGGGGGTCCATAGGGGTCTATGGGGGGCTCCATAGGGGTCTATGGGGGGGTCCATGGGGGGTCCATAGGGGTCTATGGGGGGGTCCATGGGGGGTCCATAGGGGTCTATGGGGGGGTCCATGGGGGGTCCATAGGGGTCCATGGGGGGCTCCATAGGGGTCTATGGGGGGCTCCATAGGGGGGTCTATGGGGGGGTCCATGGGGGGCTCCATAGGGGTCTATGGGGGGGTCCATGGGGGCTCCATAGGGGTCTATGGGGGGGTCCATGGGGGGTCCATAGGGGTCTATGGGGGGGTCCATGGGGGGCTCCATAGGGGTCTATGGGGGGCTCCATAGGGGTCTATGGGGGGGTCCATGGGGGGCTCCATAGGGGTCTATGGGGGGGTCCATGGGGGGTCCATGGGGGGTCCATAGGGGTCTATGGGGGGGTCCATGGGGGGCTCCATAGGGGTCTATGGGGGGCTCCATAGGGGTCTATGGGGGGGTCCATGGGGGGCTCCATAGGGGTCTATGGGGGGGTCCATGGGGGGTCCATGGGGGGTCCATAGGGGTCTATGGGGGGGTCCATGGGGGGTCCTCATGCACTGAGCACGTCCGCGCTCTCGGACACCAGTTTCCCGTCGCGGGTCTCGATCTTCTTGATGACGATGGCGCGGGCGCGGGGGGGGGGCGCCGGCTCCGCGGGCGAGGGGGGGGGCAGAGGCAGGGACAAGCACGGGCCCCCCCCTGAGGAGACCCCAAAGCCCCCCCCGAGGCTGCCTGGGGGGAGAGGGACCCCGTGAGCAAGGGGGGGGACATGGGGGGGGCACCAGGACATTGGGGGGGGGGGGGCACCAGGACATTTGGGGGGGGGGGCACCAGGACATGGGGGGGGGTGGCACCAGGGACACTGGGGGGGGCGGGCACCAGGACATGGACCTTACCTGGGTATCCCGAGGGCTTGGTGTGGATGCTGAGGTTCTGCACCCCCACCTCCAACCTGTGGACATGGGGTACATGGGGGGGTTATGGGATATATGGGGGGGATATGGGATATATGGGGGGGATATGGGGTACATGGGGGGGGACATGGGGTACATGGGGGGGTTATGGGATATATGGGGGGGGCGATATGGGATACATGGGGAGGATATGGGATACATGGCGGGGGGATATGGGATACATGGGGGGGACATGGGGTACATGGGGTTATGGGATGTATGGCGGGGGGATATGGGATACATGGGGGGGGATGGGATACATGGGGGGGGATATGGGATACATGGGGGGGTTATGGGTTATATGGCGGGGGGATATGGGATACATGGGGGGGATGGGATACATGGGGGGGATATGGGATACATGGGGGGGACATGGGACACATGTGGGATGGGACATGACACCCTTGTGTGACGGGGGGGATATAACACCTGCATGTGATGGACATGGGATGCCCACAGGATGCAGGGTGTGGGATGTGGGATGTGGGACGCCCATGGGACATGGGATGCCCACGGGATATGGGATGCCCATGGGATGTGGGATGCCCACTGGATGTGGGATGCCCACAGAACACAGGATGCCCATGGGATACCCAAGGGATGAGGAGTGCAGAGTGCAGGATGTGGGATGTGGGACACCATGGGACATGGGATGCCTGCAGGATGCAGGGTGTGGGATGGGGACTGGGGATGCCCATGGGATGCCCACAGGATGCAGGGTGTGGGAAGAGCGATGGCCATGGGATGCGGATACCAACGGGAAATGGGACGCCCACAGGATGCTCATGGGATGTAGGATAGAGGCCGCCCATGGGATGCCCATAAGATGCGGGATGTGGGATGCCCACACGATGTGGATGCCAATGGGACATGGGATGCCCACGGGATACCCATGGGATGTGGGATACCCACAGGATGCAGGGTGTGGGATGCGGATGCCCCTGGGATGTGGGATGCAGGGTGTGCAATGGGGGATGCCCCTGGCACATGGGATGCCCATGGGACGCAGGATGCTCGTGGGATGCAGGATGTGGGTCCCTGGGGCCTCACCTGCTCTCCTCTCCCTCCAGCAGCTTCCTGTAGGTCGCGATCTCGATGTCCAGGGCCAGTTTGACGTTCATGAGCTCCTGGTACTCACGGAGCTGCCGGGCCATGTCCTGCTTGGCCTTCTGCAGGGCTGCCTCCAGCTCCTCCAGCTTGGCCCTGGCATCCTTGAGGGCCAGCTCCCCGCGTTCCTCAGCCTCGGCGATGGCCGAGTCCAGGCTGGATCGCTGCCACACCGGCACCGGCTGGGACCCCTGCGCCCCACGGCCCCTGCCCCGCATCACCCTGCGCCCCACAGCCACGTGTCCCATAGCCCCCTGCCCCGGCGTCCCCCCGGCCCATAGCCTCATGGCCCAGCATCCCCCCGTTCCGGTATCCTCATGTCCCAGCAGCCCTCTGCTCCAGCATCCCCCTGCCCCAGGGTCCCCAGCACCCCACATCCCCACACCAGCATCCCCTTGTCCCAGCGTCCCCCTGCCCCAACATCCCCATGTCCCAGCATCCCCATGTCCCAGTATCCCCGTGTTCCAGTATCCCTGTATCCCAGCATCCCCATGTCCCAGCATCCCCGTGTCCCAGTATACCCGTGTCCCAGTATCCCTGTATCACAGCATCCCCATGTCCCAGTATCCCCATGTCCCAGCATCCCCATGTCCCAGGATCCTCATGTCCCAGTATCCCTGTATCCCAGCAACCTCATATCCCAGTATCCTCATGTCCCAGTATCCCCATGTCCCAGTATCCCCATGTCCCAGGATCCCTGTATCCCAGCAACCCCATATCCCAGTATCCTCATGTCCCAGTATCCCTGTATCCCAGCATCCCCATGTCCCAGTATCCTCATGTCCCAGTATCCCTGTATCCCAGCAACCTCATATCCCAGTATCCTCATGTCCCAGTATCCCCATGTCCCAGTATCCCTGTATCCCAGCATCCCCATGTCCCAGTATCCCCATGTCCCAGTATCCCTGTATCCCAGCAACCCCATATCCCAGTATCCTCATGTCCCAGTATCCCTGTATCCCAGCATCCCCATGTCCCAGTATCCCCATGTCCCAGCATCCCCATGTCCTAGTATCCCCATGTCCCAGCATCCCCATGTCCCAGTATCCCCACATCCCAGCATCCCCATGTCCCAGTATCCTCATGTCCCAGTATCCCCGTATCCCAGCATCCCCATGTCCCAGTATCCTCATGTCCCAGTATCCCTGTATCCCAGCATCCCCATGTCCCAGTATCCCCGTACCCCAGTATCCCTGTATCCCAGCATCCCCAGTATCCCCGTGTCCCAGTATCCCTGTATCCCAGCATCCCCATGTCCCATTATCCCCATGTCCCAGTATCCCTGTATCCCAGCATCCCCATGTCCCATTATCCCCATGTCCCAGTATCCCTGTATCCCAGCATCCCCTGTATCTCCGTGTCCCAGTATCCCTGTATCCCTGCATCCCCATGTCCCAGTATCCCTGTATCCCAGCATCCCCTGTATCCCCATGTCCCAGTATCCCTGTATCCCAGCATCCCCATGTCCCAGTGTCCCCCATGTCCCAGCCTCTCCTTGCACCAGTATACTTGTGTCCAAGTATCCCCCTGTCCCAGCATCCCACACCCCCCGTGCCCCCCAGCACACCCTTGCCCCCTATAATCCTCCATGTCCCAGTATCCCATACACCCCATATCCTCTGTATTCCCCAGTACCCACAGACCCCCCTGTACTCCCAGTACCCTCTGTACCCCCAGTATCCCACATATCCCCCAGTACCCCATTACCCCCAGTACCCCCCACACCTCCCCAGTATCCCCATGTCCCCAGAATCCATGTACCCCCCAGTATCTCCATATCCCCCAGTATCCCCATACCTTCCTACATTCCCCCACTATCCATGTACCCCCCAGTATCTCCTTTATCCCCCATTCCCTGCAGCATCCCTCATGTCCATCAGCATCCCCTGTACCCCATATCCCCCATTCCCTGCAGCATCCCCCATGTCCCCCAGCATCCCCCGGACCCCCATTCCCCCCAACATCCCCCATGTCCATCAGCATCCCCTCTACCCCCCATTCCCCCAGCATCCCCCATATCCCCCAGCATCCCCTGTACCCCCATATCCCCTGTACCCCCATATCCCCCATGTCCCCAGCATCCCCCAGGATCCCCTGTACCCCCGTACCCCCCATTCCCCCCATGTCCCCCAGCATCCCTCATGTCCCGCAGCATCCCCTGTACCCCCGTATCCCCCATTCCCCCCAGCATCCCCTGTACCCCTGTATCCCCCATTCCCCCCATGTCCCCCAGCATTCCCCAGCATCCCCTATACCCCCCATTCCCCCCAGCATCCCCCAGCATCCCCTGTACCCCCATTCCTCCCAGCATCCCCCATATCCCCAGCATCCCCTGTACCCCCCATTCCCCCCATATCCCCAGCATCCCCTGTACCCCCGTATCCCCCATTCCCCCCAGCATCCCCCAGCATCCCCTGTACCCCCCATTCCCCCCATATCCCCAGCATCCCCTGTACCCCTGTATCCCCCATCCCCCCAGCATCCCCCAGCATCCCCTGTACCCCCATATCCCCCATTCCCCCCAGCATCGCCCATGTCCATCAGCATCCCCTCTACCCCCCATTCCCCCAGCATCCCCCATATCCCCCAGCATCCCCTGTACCCCCCATCCCCCCAGCATCCCCCAGCATCCCCTGTACCCCTGTATCCCCCATCCCTCAGCATCCCCTGTACCCCCATATCCCCCATCCCTCAGCATCCCCTGTACCCCCGTATCCCCCATTCCCCCCAGCATCCCCCAGCCACCCTGTACCCCCCATTCCCCCCCATGTCCCCCAGCATCCCCCATGTCCCCATTCCCCCCCATTGCCCCCCCTCCTCCCCGTGTCCCTCGGCCCCCCCAGACCTGTCCCCGCAGCGCCTCGAGCTCGGCCTGGCAGCGCTGGATGAGCCGGTTCAGCTCCTGGATGCGGCCGCGGGTGCTGAGCAGGTCGGCCCCGCGCTGCCCGGCCGCCGTCCGCAGCTCCTCGTACTGCGGGGGGCACGGAGGGGGAAAAGGGTCATGGGAGCGGGGAAATGGGGGGGGGGAGTGGGGGCGTGGGAGCGTGGGAGCGTGGGGTTATGGGATCGGGGGGTTATGGAGTTATGGGGTTATGGGGTTATGGGGTTATGGGGTTATGGGGTTATGGGGTTATGGGAGCATGGGGTTATGGGGTTATGGGGTTATGGGGTTATGGGAGCATGGGGTTATGGGGTTATGGGATTGGGGGGTTATTGGAGCATGGGGTTATGGGGTTATGGGGTTATGGGAGCATGGGGTTATGGGGTTATGGGATTGGGGGGTTATGGGAGCATGGGGTTATGGGGTTATGGGATCGGGGGGTTATGGGAGCATGGGGTTATGGAGTTATGGGGTTATGGGAGCATGGGGTTATGGGGTTATGGGATTGGGGGGTTATTGGAGCATGGGGTTATGGGGTTATGGGGTTATGGGATCGGGGGCTTATGGAGTTTGGGGTTATGGGGTTATGGGAGCATGGGGTTATGGAGTTATGAGGTTATGGGTTTATGGGGTTATGGGGTTATGGGTTTATGGAGTTATGGAGTTATGGGATCGGGGGGTTATGGGAGCATGGGGTTATGGAGTTATGGGGTTATGGGTTTATGGGGTTATGGACTTATGGGGTTATGGGGTTATGGGATCGGGGGGTTATTGGAGCATGGGGTTATGGAGTTATGGGGTTATGGGTTTATGGGGTTATGGGGTTATGGGGTTATGGGATCAGGGCGTTATTGGAGCATGGTGTCATGGGGTTATGGGATCGGGGGGTTATGGAAGCATGGTGTCATGGGGTTATGGGATCGGGGGTTTATGGGATCGGGGGGTTATGGGAGCATGAAGTGATGGAGTTATGGAGTTATGGGATCATGGGGTTATGGAGTTATGGGGTTATGGGATCACAGGACCGTGGAGTTATGGGAACAGTGAGTTTTGGCATCATAGAACCATGGGATTATGGGAACATGGGATCATGGAAGCCTGGAGTTATGGGATCATGGAGCTATGGGATCATGGAGTTATGGGATCATGGAGTTACGGGTTCATGGAGTTATGGGATCATGGAGTTACGGGTTCATGGAGTTATGGGATCATGGAGTTACGGGTTCATGGAGTTATGGGATAATGGAGTTACGGGTTCATGGAGTTATGGGATCATGGAGCTATGGGTTCATGGAGTTATGGGATCATGGATTTACGGGTTCATGCAGTTATGGGTTCATGCAGTTATGGGTTCATGGATTTACAGGTTCATGAAGTTACGGGTTGATGCAGTTACGGGTTGATGCAGTTACGGGTTGATGCAGTTAGGGGTTGATGCAGTTACGGGTTCATGCAGTTACGGGTTCATGCAGTTACGGGTTCATGCAGTTACGGGTTGATGCAGTTATGGGTTGATGCAGTTATGGGATCATGGAGCTATGGGTTCATGGAGTTATGGGATCATGGATTTACGGGTTCATGCAGTTACGGGTTGATGCAGTTACGGGTTGATGCAGTTATGGGTTGATGCAGTTACGGGTTGATGCAGTTACGGGTTGATGCAGTTACGGGTTGATGCAGTTACGGGTTGATGCAGTTACGGGTTGATGCAGTTATGGGTTGATGCAGTTACGGGCTCATGGCCCCACGGGCCCCCCATTGCCCCCACCTTGCCCTTGCACCGGGCCTCGGCGTCGGCGCGGCCGCGTGCGGCGATGTCCTCGTAATGCGCCCGCGCCTCGTCCAGCACCGCCGCCAGGTCGGGGCTGCGGTTGTTGTCCATGGAGAGCACCACAGCCGCGCCCGGCGCCGCCCGCTGCAGCTCCCGCAGCTCCTGCGGCACCGGGAGGGGGGGGTCAGGGACATGGGGGGTCCCCGTCCCCCCCCAAAGGCCATGGGGCCCCCACCTCCCCGTAGAGCTGCCGCAGGAAGTTGATCTCGTCGGTCAGGCTCTCCAGCCGCGCCTCCAGCTCCACCTTGCTCATGTACGCCTCGTCCACGTCCTGCCGCACCGCCGCCGCCACCGGCACCACCGCCACCGGCACCACCGCACCGTCAGGGCCATCCCGGAACCGCCAACCCAGCACCCCCATCCCATCACCCCCATCCCAGAACCCCAATCCCAGCACCCCCATCCCATCACCCCCATCCCATCACCCCCATCCCAGCACCCCCATCCCAGCACCCCCATCCCATCACCCCAATCCCAGCACCCCCATCCCATCACCTCCATCCCACACCCCCATCCCGTCACACCCATCCCATCGCCCCCATCCCATCACCCCCATCCCATCACCCCCATCCCAGCACCCCCATCCCTGTCATCCACATCCCATCACCCCAATCCCATCACCCCCATCCCATCACCCCCATCCCACACCCCCATCCCATCACCCCCATCCCCATCACCCCCATCCCATCACCCCATCCCAACACCCCCAACCCATCACCCCCACCCTGTCACCCCCATCCCATCACCCCCATCCCAGCACCCCCATCCCAGCACCCCCATCCCATCACCCCAATCCCACACCCCAATCCCATCCCCCCATCCCATCACCCCCATCCCACACCCCCATCCCGTCACCCCCATCCCATCACCCCCATCCCATCACCCCAATCCCATCCCCCCATCCCAACACCCCCATCCCATCACCCCCATCCCATCACCCCCATCCCACACCACCATCACCCCCATCCCACACCCCCATCCTGTCCCCACCGTTACCTTCTTGAGCAGCACAAACTCATTTTCCTTCTCGGTGCGGTGGTTGATCTCCTCTTCATACCTTGGGGATGGGGATGTGGGGTATGGGCTATTGGTTATGGGATATGGGGTCATGGGACCATGGGGATATGGGAACATGGGGATATGGGGTCATGGGGACCATGGGGATGTGGGGCCATGGGGGTATGGGTCAATGGGGATATGGGGTCATGGGACCATGGGGATGTGGGGCCATGGGGGTATGGGTCAATGGGGATATGGGGTCATGGGACCATGGGGATGTGGGGACATGGGGGTATGGGTCAATGGGGATATGGGGTCATGGGACCATGGGGATGTGGGGCCATGGGGGTATGGGTCAATGGGGATATGGGGTCATGGGACCATGGGGATGTGGGGACATGGGGGTATGGGTCAATGGGGATATGGGGTCATGGGACCATGGGGATATGGGATACAGGGATGTACAACATGGGTGTATGGGAACAAGGGTTATGGGATATGGGGATATGGAGATATGGGAACATACAGATATGGGGACATGGAGAGGTCTGGGTATGGGAACACGGGCACACCAGCTTATGTGGCCATGGGGCTCACGTGTGCATGGCAACATGGGGGGGCACCAGGATGCAGGGACACTGGGGGGCACCAGGATGCAGGATCACAGGGATGTGGGGTCCCAGCCCTATGGGCCCCGAGGGTGCGGGATCCCAGAGCCACAGGAACCCCCCCGGGGCTCAGTGATGGGGATGCTCCATCCCCACAGCTGGGTCAGTGGAGACCATGGACCATGGACCCTATGGCCCCTATGGACCACGGACCCTATGGCCCCTATGGCCCTTATGGACCACAGACTCTATGGCCCCTATGGACCACGGACCCTATGGCCCCTATGGACCAGGGACCCTATGGCCCTTATGGACCACAGACCCTATGGCCCCTATATACCACGGATCCTATGGCCCTTATGGACCACAGACCCTATGGCCCCTATGGACCAGGGACCCTATGGCCCTTATGGACCACGGACCCTATGGCCCTTATGGACCACAGACCCTATGGCCCCTATGGACCAGGGACCCTATGGCCCTTATGGACCACAGACCCTATGGCCCCTATGGACCATGGACCCTATGGACCTTATGGACCGTGACCCTTATGGCCCCTATAGACCATGGCCCCTATGGATGTTATGGACCATGGCCCTTATGGTCCCTATGGACCACAGACCCTATGGCCCCTATGGACCACAGACCCTGTGGCCCTTACGGACCGTAGACCCTATGGACCATGGAGCCTATGAACCCTATGGCTCCCATGGACCATATGTCCCCTATGGACCATGGCCCCCATGAACCCTATGGCCCATGTCCCCAGTGTCCCCTACATCCCCCATGTCCCACATATCCCCCCATTTCCCACTGTTCCCTATGTCCCCCCATGTCCCCATATCCCCCATGTCCCCATATTCCCCATGTCCCCTATGTCCCCATATCCCCCATGTCCTCGTATCCCCCATGTCCCCTATGTCCCTGCTGTCCTCCATATCCCCCATGTTCCCTATGTCCCCCATATCCCCCCTGCCCCCTATATCCCCCCCATGTCCCCACTGTCCCCCATATCCCCTATGTCCCCTATAGGATCCCCATGTCCCCTATATCCCAATATCCCCCATATCCCCCCTATATCCCCTATGTCCCCCATGTCCCCCTGTCCCCCCATATCACCTATGTCTCCCCTATAGGCCCCCCTATGTCCCACATGTCCCCCCATGTCCCCATATACCCCATGTACCCTATGTCCCCCCTGTCCCCCATGTACCCTATGTCCCCTATAGCCCCCCTATGTCCCCACTGTCCCTCATATACCCCAGGTCCCCTATAGGTCCCCCATATCCCCTGTCCCCTATATCCCCATATCACCTATGTCGCCCCTGTCCCCTATGTGCCCTATGTCCCCTATGACCCCCATATCCCTCCTGTCCCCTATATCCCCATATCCCCCCTATACCCCCCCATCCCCTATGTCCCCCATATCCCCCATGTACCCCCCCGTCCCCCCTGTCCCCTATGTCCCCATATCCCCCATGTCCCCGCCATGTCCCCCCCGTCCCCTATGTCCCCCATATCCCCCAGGTCCCCTATGATCCCCATATCCCCCCTGTTCCCTATGTCCCCATATCCCCCATATCTCCCCCCGTCCCCCCTGCCCCTATGTCCCCCCTTATTCCCCATGTTCCCGCCATGTCCCCCCCGTCCCTTATGTCCCCCATATCCCCCATGTCCCCCCTGTCCCCTATATCCCCTATGTTCCCCCCTGTCCGCCTATATCCCCTATGTTCCCCCCTGTCCCCTATGTCCCCATATCTCCCCA